GAAGAATACTGAAGGTTCCATGGACTGCCAAAAGAACTAACAGATCTGTCCTGGAGGAAGTGCACCCGAAATACTCCTTGGAAGTGAGAATGGCCAGACTTCGTCTCACCTACTTTGGTCATGTTGTGTCAGAAGGGACCATTCCCTGGAGAAGGATGTCATGCTTGGTAGAGTGGAGGGTTGACGAAAGGGGGAGGCCTTCAATGAGATGCATTGACACAGTGGCTGCGATGATGGGCTCATGGAGCAGGGATCATGGAGCTGGCGCAGGATCGGGCAGTGTTTCATTCTGCTGTGCGTGGGTCACTATGAGTCGGAAATGACTCGATGGCACCTAACAACAACATTTGAGAGTAGGGTACAGACAGTAGTACACTTCACCCCTAAATTCCTCAGTGTACATCATCTAAGATTAAGAACATTTTCCTTCATATCTATAATATCATTTTCATACCTAAGAAAATATCTAATAGGCCAGTCCACATTTCTCCACTCATCCTAAGGTTCTTGCTTTATATTTGGATTTGATGAAGTTTTGTATATTCTTAGCAATGTGGTAATTTTTCTTTCAGATCTGTCATGTACTCTTAAATATTATGGCATTAGTTTATATCTGTGAAGAAACTTATCAGTCTCCAAGATCTGAGTAAGTTAGTTGATAAGAACAAATAACTAGACATAAATAATTAAGGAATCTGTATCGAGGTCTACTTTAGATGGTCAGAGATTCCTAAAAGTTTCCAGTATAGGCAGGTTGGGACTATGTGTGTAGTGTTTCTGTTGTTATAGACAGTATCTTCTTTAGAAGAGAGTTTGTATGTACTTTGAAGGGTTGTCTAAATTATGATCTTTAAATATATTATAAAATTTTATTTTTCTACTTTTTATTAGATTTCAGCATGCCATGGGGGGCGTACCTGCGTGGGCAGAAACTACTAGGCGGAAAAAATCTTCAGAGGGTGAGTGTGAGTGTTTAAGTTAGTAAATAAATTCCTGTTCAAGTTAGTAAATAAATTCCTCTTCCTGTTCTGTTACTACTTGAACTTTCTTACCAGGCTCATCAAAACCTGTGTTTTGATGTTTCAGGTATGTCTGGTTTTAACATCTGCCATTTCTCTGAAGGAAGTCTTTTTCAGTTGTGTAAGGCTTATACGATAGAATATTCTCTGAGAGGAAAATGAGGGTGGACGATTTTACGGTGTTTCCTCCTAAACAACTATGTTGCATTACTGCATGAGATGAAGGAAAAATGGATGGTATTGTAATTGCTTGATTCAAAATCCCTTCTGAAAACATTGATAGCTAATCTGGCTGTTTTTTAGGAAATTATTATTACTCATTTTATACTACATCATCTACAGAATCATAACATTTTAGATCTGTGTAATTATGGGTAAGGTTATGCTAGCTGTTCAAACAAAATCCTAGATACCAATGGTTTAATTCTATGCAAGTTGTTTTTCATGCGCATAAAATTGGGCTGCTCTCTGCTCTACTTCAAGACCCAAGTTATAGTGGTTCTGCCATCTTTGGACTGCATTTTCCATAGTTGCCCAAGATTTTGACATCCATTTGGCTTATGGAGATTTTAAAAAAAAAACTCAAAGGCAGTTTTTATGGGTCTGTCCTGGAAGTGGTACATATCACCCACAGTTTATTGTCCAGACCTCAGTCACAAGGCCACACTAACTGCATGGGATGCCAGGAAGTGTAGTTTTCCTTTGTGCCTAAGAGGAAAAGGAAACTAATTCTGGTAACAACTAACCAGTCCACTACCATCCTGTATATCCTGGTCCAATAACTTCCTTTTACAGATAAGGAAAGTGAGGTTCAAAGAAATAAAATGACCTAGCCAGAAAAAACTTTTTATTGGCAGAGGAGTGACTAGAACACAGCTTCATATTAATCACTGTGATTTTTTTAAAAAAATATCTATACATGCTTCACTGGGTATCTTTTAACACAGTTATTCCTCTTTTAGACATTACCACAATACTGTCATGATATATGTCCAAAAAATCAGTGATTAATTCCTTAAGGTCATAGATTGGTTGTAGTTGCTGTTGTTTTGTTAATTTACCATCCCTTTTTTGGCTTGCTTTGTTTTCAGGTTGATTTTTATAGTGCTTTTAAATCTGGCTTTAGGGCTTTTGTAAGTTTCAGAAATTCATGGATGTTGTTCCTTCAGATACAGTTTCTTTTCTAGTCTCCTTTTCTTCTGGGAGCTCAGTTACATACATGTTACATGTTTTTAACTCATTTAGTTTTCTGATCCATTCTGCACACCACTATCTCTGCCTGCTGGGCAATCTACTTCTGTAGTGATACTGCCTCAGAAACCCAAGGAGGGGTCGCTGTGAGTCAGATCCAACTTGACGGCACGAGTTTGGTTTTTTGATTTGGTATCTCTACCTGCAGCTAATTTTGATATGTTGTTAAAACCATCCACTTAATTTAATATATTGTTATTTTCAGATGTTGTGTGTTGAGTTAGTTTTTCTTTTACATAGATTCTAGTTCACTGGTGATGGAGCTCTGGTGGCATATGGAGAAGGCATCTGGCTGCTAACCAGAAGGTCAGCGGTTCAAACCCACTAGCTGCTATATAAAATTTAGATGGGGCAATCTACTTCCATAAAGATTTACAGCCTTGGCAACCTCATGGGGGGTCGCTGTTAAGTTGGAATCAACTAGATGACAATGAGTTTGATTTGGTTTACTTCTCTGGTGAGGAGCCCCTGGTGACATAGTGGGTGATCACTTAATTGCTAACAAAAGGTCAGCAGTTTAAACCCACCAGCTGTTCTGCAGAAAAAAGATGAGATAATCTGCTTCTTTAGAGATTGCTCTTGTTGGGTATCATTGCTGATTTTTACTTAACCCTGTGTGAAGGAGTAGAACTGCCCCTAAGCTTGGTTTCCTGAGCTGTAATCTTTTCTGGAGGCGCTCTGGTGGCACTGTGGTTAAAGCATTAGGCTGCTAACCAGATTGTCGGCAGTTGAAACCTACCAGCTACTGCACAGGAGAAAGATGAGGCAGTCTGCTTCTGTAAAGATTACAGCCTTATAACCCTGTGTTCTCTTCTTGTCCTGTAGGGTTGCTGTGAGTTAGAGTCAACTCCATGGCAGTGGTTTAAGTTTGGTTTGGAACCTCCACTGCAGCAGTTCGCCAGGTCATTCTTCTGCAGAGCCACTGAGTGGGTTTGAGCCACCAACCTTTCAGTTAGCAGCTGAGTATTTAATCATTGTGCCATCAGGGCTTCTTTTGTAAAGATTATAGCCTTGGAAACCCTACAGGGCAGTATTGCTCCGTTTTACAGGGTCACTATGAGTCAGAATAGGATGGATGGCAAGGAGAGCCTGCAGTTCTCTGGGTAAATTCTGAATCTTATCTTCTGTTGTCTTTGAACATAATAAGCTCGATATTCTTAAACTTTGTTTGGTGACTTCATTAACTGGAGCTTCTGTGGGGATCATCTATTTTTCCATTTGGTTTTCAGTCAAATTAGCTTATGCATTAATACTGATACGGTTATTTTTCCTTGAGTGCTAGACATTATATATGAAAACTGATGACTAGTTAGAGGCCTAAGATTGTTACCTTTCTTTGTACCAAAAAAAGACCAAACCCACTGCCGCCGAGTTGATTATAACTCATAGCAACCCCCATTGATTTCCAAGGCTGTAAATCTTTATGGAAGTAGATTGCCTCATGGAGCAGCTGGTGGGTTTGAACCACTGACCTTCTGGTTAACAGTCAGATGCCTTACCCACTATACCACCAGAGCTCCTTATCTTTCTCTATAGAGGTTTTTTTTTTTTTTTTTTTTTTCTTCCAGGTAGGTGACTGGGCAAGGGTCACTAGCAATCCCAGAGCTTCTTTATCCAGTGGTGGATTGTGATGATTCAAAGCTGGGTCTCAGACCCTGGCAGATTTTTTTATAATTCTTTGATTTCACCCTTAATCCTAGGGTGTTGCCTTTTGCCACTTTGGAACAAAGCCTGGGTAGTTTACCAGAGTTCCTCAATAAACTGAGAGGGCTCCTAGCTCTAGGTTTTGCCTTTTAGCCCATGTTTTTAAAAACTTTTCTGGGCTTCTTTACTAAAGTGACTGGTCCTCTCTAGGGGAGACCATCTCTCTTGGCTCTTTGAAGTTATAATACAGTGTGTGCTGACATTGGTCTTTCAGTCTCCTGAAAGTTCCAGCTTTTCTTCAGGTGCACAGTTAAGCTTAATTTGCTATCCACCCTGTTGCCGGTTTTGCCATAATTATGTGTTGTTCTTTTTAAATTAAGTGCTGACTTCATTTCAACTTTGTTTCATTTCATGTTGTTTTAGTTGCTGTCTATGTGTGTGTTTGTGTCTTTCCAGAGACAAATTTTACTTTTAATCATTTATGTTGAGCTCTTTATCATCTTTTTCCTTTTTTTCAAATACAGATTGCTGTTTGGCTTTTACTATCTGTACCTTTTAAAAAGTTATTGAGGTTGGAAAGCTGGGAGGGAAGTTGAAGTGTGAAATATAAAACTTTGGGATAAGAAAAGGACAATCTCATTGATTCTAAAGATCAGCCTTGTGGGTTTATTTGACTTAGATGAAAGTGAAGAGGATGAAGATGACTTGTTGCAAAGAACTGGAAATTTCATATCCACATCAACTTTTCTTCCGAAAGGAATCTTGAAGGTGAGAGTCAGTGAAATTGGGACCTGTTCAGCTTCTTGCCTCTGAAGTCCAGTCTGGTTACTGGGTATAGATGTATGGATTCTTATTATCAATGGGATGAAATGTGTTTACTGTCATTTTGTCTTTGTAAATGTTTCTTCTTTTGTGAAAATTATTTAGGAGGTATTATGTACCTAGGAATCCTGTTTGATTTCTGCTTTTGCTTTTCATTGGCACTAGTCTAGTGCCCGTTGCTATCATCTCTCACCTGACGTGCTGCTTGGTTTCCCCACTTCCACTTGATTCTCCCTAGCCCGTTGTTTAAGAAGCTCTGGTTGTATAGTGGTCAAGGCATTTGGCTGCTAACCTAAAGGTTGGTGCTTCGAACCCACCAACTGCTCTGTGGAAGAAAGATGGAGTGGTCTGCTTCTGTAAAGATTTATATAGCCTTGAAAACTCACTGGGGGTTGCCATGAGTTGGAATTGACTGAATGGCAGTGAGTTGGGTTTTTTTTTAGCCCATTCCTTATATGTTGTTGTTGTATTGTTGTTTGC